TATAGGCAATAATAATAATCATGACAAGATAATTAATCGATTTGCAAATAATGCAAAGCCTTAATCTTAGATGGATCAAAACTAAATAATTTATATGCCCCTTCCCAAGTCACCACTGCGCTCCTCTAACACTTTCCTATCTTCTTCTAAGAGAGTTAACTGTCCTTAACCATGTTCCATAATTATATGCTTAAATTTACAATTCTTATACACAAAACAATCCCGTAAACCATTAAACCACCCTTTCTCCTTGGTCAACTGGGGGTGTTAAAAAAGCAAGAACCCTCATTAAACAGTGTCCTGAACATTAAGAACCAGTCTCAAGTCTCCACTTTTATGCCAATCAATTTATTTAATATTGGAAAGGGACTCTAAAACTCAAGGCATCATACACAAACAAAAAAATACTCTGTGGTAACTAGTGTACATAATGTATCACTTAACACAAAAGCATCGAAGAATAAAAATGCAACTCCTCAACTAGAACTCTAGCACAATCCTACAACACCTAGAGAGCAAGGGTAAAGATTTAAATAAATAAACCTACCAAGCATTTGGGAGGTTATCGAATATGTTGTTTGCGAAAGATACAGCCATAAGCATAGGGCGACCTAGCTGCATCACTTCAAAACTCGACGGAGGCTCAATATCACCAGATGAAGAGTGGTTTTTGTATTCCACAAAGAGATATACACCATATCCAATCATTCCCAGTCCAACAAGGGTCAATAAGAAGTTAAAGAGCTTCAGCAAGCACTCCAAACACCCTTTACACGCCATTCTCTAGAAAATTCTAGCAAACCCCCACAACTCAAAGCTCCTTGCACAACTCTCAGCTAAATCACAAAATCCTCATGTTTCTACAACAAAAAACACAAAAATTACCACACATGTCACACCCACAAAATCAAAAGCTTAATGCAATATAGAAATAAAGATTTCCAAATCTTTCAAGAGTATATAGACGCATACTCATTCCAAATAAATAGCATATCAGCAACACCAAACTGAAAAAGGCTACAACCTTAAACACAATGAAATTGAAAATTATTACAAGACTGGATTTTTTTTTTTTGGGGGGTCAAACTGATTGGAGGGAGGATTAATGTCCAGATATATTTGAGCTTTCAGGGATTTTGAGAAAGTGGGTATTGTCAATTAAGCTTATCCTCATCTAACAACGAATAAAAAATAGAATAAAGCATTCTTTAATCTTTAAAAAAGAGAAAAGAATAGAATATGAGAGAACTAAAAGATAATAATAATAATAAACGTACGTGAACAGGGAGTAGGAGAGATCACGGGGTTGACAGATTGCAAAGGAAGGAGGATACGCAGAGGGCGGAGATGTGTCGTCTGGGGCCGAGGAATCGAGAGCGGTGGAAAACGGTAAAAAGGGAAAACGACAAGGGAAGTTGGGCTCTGTCGTGATGTGCTCGTTTATGTCTGTTCCTCCAGATGGCTGATGGACTTTCATAAGCTTTTCCACCTCAAATGACACTTCTCTCCTCACTTGGATAACCAAAACCAAAATAAATAAAGAGTAAATACCCAAAATGGTCCCTCGACTATAGCTAAATTCACAAAATGGTTCTCGACTTTCAATTTCAACCAAATAAGTCCTTAACTTTACAATTTTGACATGATTTGGTCCTCCATCTATTTGACCGTTTGTTGACCGTGATCGACGATCTCCAGAAGAACCTTCAGCTCTCGTCGAAGCACGTGGAGGGCTCCAGGATGATGTTGCACTGGTTCGGAAACACACTGTCTTCTTCGCTTTGGTACGAACTCAACTACATTGAATCCAAAGGTAGGATGAAGAAAGACGACCGGATTTGGTAGATTGCTTTCGACAGTGAATTCAAATGTAACAGTGCAGTCTGGAAATGCAACCGGAACCTTAAAAAACCGACAGTAGACCATGAAATTACATATATATCCTCAAAAATCACAGTCAACAAATGGTCAAATAGATGGAGGACCAAATCGTGTTAAAATTACAAAGTTAAGGACTTAATTGGTTGAAATTAAAAATCGAGGACCAATTTGTGAATTTAGCTATAGTCGACGGGCCATTTTGGGTATTTACTCATAAATAAGGGTCAAATAGGTCATCCAACTACTCACCAAATTGTAATTAAGTCAATGAGCTCAAAAAAAATTACAATTAGGTGACTGACACGTCAGCATAAAAATTAAAAATTATATTTTTGAATAAAAAATTATTTTTAAATTCGATGACCGACATGTCAGCATAATTAACAGGTAAACAAGTCATTTTAACTTAAATTGTATAAATTTGTGTTGTTCACGGACCCAATCGTAGTTTTTTTTTATTAGTTCAGTGACCTAATTGCAGTTTGATCTGTAATTAGATGGCCTATTTGACCCTTATTCCAAACCAAAATGATAATTGGACTTGGGAGTAAATTACATTGATTTACCGAAAAACTTGTAGCTGCTATCCGGAGGTATGCGAGTAAATCTCGCATTGTGATTCTAGTCTAAAGAACCCTAAAGAGAACAGTTTGGTTGGCGTGAGTGATCGTGCACTCTTATCCTTTAACATAAGTCGAGTGTTTGAACCTCTCTCGTATAGAAAACCCAACCTAGCAAGTAGCCTCTTCATTGGGCCGGCCCTGTGCGAACGAGGATTAGTCTGAGTATGGTACAAGCTTAAAAGGTTTAGTGCCTGCTCATGACAACTCGTGGTCTGACAAAAACAAAATCACAAGGAGATAAATCAACTTAGATTATTCATATTTGACTAGCTCAAGCTAAAAATTCAACAAGGTTAATAAACTACTCCCAAGAGAAGTCGAATTTGAAACGATGTAGTTATTAAGCCAATTGTCCAACTAGCTTCACCTATGAAGGATCATAGTAAATTTATAGACTTTATTGGGAAGTGAAAAAAAAAATGAAATGAATAAAATTGTAGGGAAAATACTACATGTACTCTCATTCCTATACTTCCAACTTTTACTCTCACATTTAAAATATTGATGTAGACACTTTTACGGGACCCACATGAAGAAAATGACCTATTAGAGTGCGTCACATCAAGAAATAAATTTGAGTGAGTATAATTTGAGAGTACATATAGTAGAACTCAAATTTTAGTTCATTTTTTTAATCAATCAAAAGATGTGTATCAAGTAAATTTAATGGTTTGTTGTGTAAAGTACACGAGGTATACATAAATTGTTCAAATTTGTCTTGAAGAGTATTCGAATATGAATATTTAATTTGATTATTCTTAACCATAATAACGAGTTCAAGTATTTCAACTCGAACTACTAGTGAGTCTAATTAAGTTCTTATAATTTTATATATTATCAGTATAAGTATCTTAACTTGAACTACTTAGTCAGTCAAATATATTCATATATTCCATGCTTCTTCTTTTTTCTTTTTTTCTTTTTTTAATCTTCAAAATATTAAAAAAAAAAAAAAAAGTTTTAAAAATTTTCTTATATAGCTCAATTACCCCACTTTTGCCCCAAAGTTCACATGGAATTAGTTGTTTAGTTTCTACTTTTTGAAGCATTCGACTTTCCAATATTAATGTATGGCAACCACATCAATGGGATCATTTGTTTTGTTAATTTGTACTTGTAGGGATGTTGCAAAAGCTATTCGGGTGACCCTATCAATTTCAAGCATTGCTAGCTTTAGAGATAAGAAATGTTTATGTTAGGGAAAATTTGCTACAATATTATTATAACATTTATCTATCTTTAATTTGTAAAGAGATGGATTTGTATGTGATAGAGGAGATGTTAGAGAATTGTTTTCAATATGTGAATAATAGACGAACGTATTAAAAAAAAAAAGAATAAATAAAGAATTTAACGTTGAGAAGAAAGATAAGGTAGAGAATTTTTTTTTTTTTTTCAAATTAGAGATTAGTCGAATGCTAACAAGTTAATTATCTGAACTGGATATAACTTCTTTAAGAATTTGTCATGTTTGAGGAGCAAGTCTACTTTTATTAGAAAATATTAATGATACTCTCGAGAGTATATACTTTCGTCACATATCTTGTATTGATTAAGAAAAAAAAAGAAAAAAAACAAAGAGCCGAAAAAGAAAATGAGTGTTCAACAATTATAAATAATTCCTTCTAGGGTTGTATAGGGGACGGCACACACCAACCCAATATACATTCCACAATTGGAGATTTGGGGCAAGAGCCATGGAAGTTGTTCTTCAAGAGTTCTTTTCTCTTGTTCATATTTTTCACACTTTATCTTTCATATCATCTTTTTTTTTTTCTTATAATGGATGATCAATTGAACAACCCAGTTAGGGTAAAATGTAATCATTAGAGATTATGATGAGATATCATTTTTATCTATGTCCAAAGATATTTGTATAGATTGTAGTTAAATTAAACACAATCTTAGTTATTCGAATGAACAACTAAAACTTTTTTTTTTTTTGAGAACTTTTAGTTCCTAAAACTTGACATCTTACAAGTATTATCTTTGAGTTGTGGGCAATGTATCATGGACTTGTGTTGAGATAGAGGGTTTAATATACTTAGGGGTACTGATTTGCAAGAAGATAATTAACATTTTGGTTCTTCAATTGTTTCTTAACTGTCAATGTAATTCCTAATTTTCAATTTCAACCAATTTGATCTTCAAATTGTTTAAAATTCCGCCAAATCAAACCCTTTCAAGGACCAAATTGACGAATTTTTTAAAATATGGAAATTATCATTTTGGTCCCTAAAATGGTTTAATTGACGAAATTTTAAACAATTCAATGATCAAATTGGTTGAAATTGAAAACTATGGACTACATTAACAGCTGGGAAACAATTGGATTACCAAAATGGTGATTAACTCTTAATGAAATTACAGAATCTCAGTTTAAGATACTTAATTACCTGTATTCATACAAAAAATACCTGTGTATTCAAGTAAATCACAGCAAGGAATATTTATACAAAAATACAATGAACCATAACTTGTTTATATTTGATATTATAAATATGCAAATCATTCTTGGAGGAGTACTTGTGCACATAAAAAGCAAAGCAATTTAGTTATGAGCTTTAAAATTTTCAACACACATTATGTGAATTTTCAGCACAAAACTTACATTATGTGGATGTGAAGCACAGAACTTAAACATAGCTGTCGATCAACGATTTCCGCATTTCATCGACGATAGCGCTTGGCTGAGCCTCTCTCAGCTTGAAAACGCTCTCGATGACAGACAACTCCGTTGCGGTAGTGTCAGAGCCACAAAACGCGGTCCAGTCGTTGACTGTCAATCCAGCAGCAATCACGTCACTACCTCGGTTCACAGTTCCGGCCACCAGAGGAACCTGGAGGAGCGTCGAAAGTTCATCCAAGTCTTCGACGGATGTATGAGGATGCACCTGCACATGACCAGGGCAAAATGGTGAAATCAGTCAAATGATACTGTTATGGAATATATATTTAATATATGGAATCTCTATAGATTAGGCCGTCTTAGGGATTTAGGTAGGTAGGCATATTGAAACTTGTTTCTTATTCGAAGTCTTCTAGCATGTATTTATAGGGCTTTGTATTCTCTTTTCTATATGACAGATTTATAAACCTTCTATTCACTTTCATACAATATATATTTTCTCATTCCTTGATTCTTCATCTTTACTTCCGCCTAACTGGCGGGTGGGGTTGTTATTCTCCACCCGCCAGGCATTTGGATCTTTCAAATTCAACAGATACAAACTTCCTCCATGTATGATGCCATAAGAAGACTAATCGGAGGGCAGAAATTATCTCCATGAAAGGGAATGTAGAATTTACCAAGCCACCTCTGTTAGAAAAAGCACAATAGCTGCCAACAAGTATATTCCCAGCTATTGTCTGCCTAAAGACTTCAACTCCGAGAACATCCGCAATCAACTCTTCAGTTTCCTACAGAAATAACGATGCAGATAATTGGATTCACCATGCACTTCAATAGAGAATAGTCGATGAAATTGATTAACTGCAAAGTTACTACATTAGTTTGGACGTTTGGTCACACTCCCCGTAAACAGAATCTTATTCCAAAGCCACAAATTACATATATCTGACAGCAAAACTCTATAGACTATAAAATAAACGGTGGTCAGATCAACATTGAGGATATTTCCATAATGCTTTTATAAATTTTTTGAGCTGCAACTCAAAATGCTTTTCAATATTTCAACAACAAATCAGCAACACACAAATAACCAAACATAACCATGGTAACTAATAATTTGTTAGAACAATAGTGAAAAGAAGGCATGCAATGCTACAAGGTTACAGAATAGGTTCCTTGAAAGGAAAAAAGAAGTGAAACATATTGATAAACAGCGTTAGAATATCCAAAAATAATCTTTCACATCAAAGCTTCCTAACTTGAAGGAATATATGAAAATTTGATCCTAATAAACTCTCCCATCTAAAAGAAATAGGTGGTCTTACCCTATCAAGATCAGTGTGCGTAAGAGCAACATGGTCATTGCAAGCAATGCAGTTTCCCAAAGCGGATAGCCTCTCATCAGCACGCTGAACAACAACACTATCTGGCAAACTGTTTCTCAAGTGTTGAAGCTCTTCCAAAAGAAAGAAGACACAGAATCATACAATACAAGTCAGTTGAATTCTTCAATTAGGATATTAAATCATGTATGAGCTTTATAAAATTTCTCTAAACACCAAGATACAAAAATTTGGTAAGCTTTAACTCTTCCCTTTTTCCACAAGTGTTACTGTAGGATATTAAACGATGTATGAGCTTTAAAAAAAATAAAAAAATATATAAAAAAAAAAAAAAAAATCTCTAAGCACCCAGATACCACATTTGATCTTTAACCTTGCTAGTTGTTATACTCAAAATGCCATCAATGTTTGATGGATTGAGCTTGTTTGGCCAAACATGAGCTTCTTTAAGACAACTGACCTTTGGAGCTTGTTGAAAAGGAGACTTTTCCTCTTATCTAGCCTTAAAGTTTGAGTGTTAGGCCTAACTTATATCTTTTAGAGTATATAAGCCATGAAATAAGCTGGGGAACCTGTCAAACCAGGCACTCAAACAAAGTAGACATGACTAAATCCTAATGATAACTAAATATCAAACAGCCATGGAGCACTATAACGTCATAAAATAGCTACATACTTGCAGTTCCAAACAACTTGTAGGAAAGAAAACATCTTAAAATTTAAAAATCAAATATTTACAGATATTTTCAATTATTTATACGCTATATTTACACATGCCCAAAAAAACATTGATTTTTAATCATAAAGTCACCTTGGTCAGTAGTAGTATGAGGCAGAATAAGACCATTTTTGTTTCCTGCACATTTGAAAATGAAACAATAAGCACTAACCTAGCTAATGTTCCAGCATATCATTCAAAAAGTCAGACAAGACTTACCAGCACAAAGCCGTCCAACTATCCGGGTTCCACCTATGGAGGTTTTAATAACTGGAATGGCATCTGCTAACTCAGCTTCAAACGTGCTACAAACAACATAAACATTTCTTAAACAACCTTAGAATCAACAACTTCCCATCAATTAAAACACAGAACAGAATTTTCAGAACAGAATTATAGAATAGACAAATGAACATGAACTGAAATGAACCTGTAAAAGTTTTCTGATCCACCAATTGCGACCAAGCAGTAAGCGTTTGTCAGCTTGGAGAAGACCCCAATTTCACATGAATTCTCGAACTGCAACCCTGCATAAATCAAACAAGCATCCAATAACAGTATTTAAACTTTGTAGAATAAATTCTCAATCATTTACATACTCCGATTTACTTACTAGTTGCCATGGTAAGGACAAAACGAGCAGCTTTTTCCTTGTCAAAAAGGACTTTTTCAGTGTAATCGCTTTCTCAGAGAGTGCCTGCCAATTTATTTCTTAAGCAGAATCAGATTTCTATTCCTCACATATAAATTAACTGATTAACATATGTTTTTGAGGTGTTTCCATGAGCATCCTATAGAAAGTATGCTATCAGAAACGGCTTTTGCCATGGCCGAAGAAATCACGCTATGTGAATCTTGATACCTGAAATTCCTAAACAGGCCGAACGGTAGCGGTGGTGGTGGTGGCGGCGGCAGCGTCGGTAACGGTGGAGCGACGAAGACTAGTGATGTTCCAGAGACCATGCAATAATGATCCGATTTGAAATATAGGGATTTTGGGAGTGAAAAAAATACCTGAACGGCGTCGTTTGGGAGGAAAAAAATACATAAACGCCGTCGTTTGGATCATAAATTTCCTTGCACAAAATAACGTCGTTTTCAACGACTCTAATAAAAGAATAAAAAGACAATTTTAATTCTGCTGTGTATTTAAGATATTTAATTTTCATTTTTATACTGATCATTTACAAAATGTCAAGACTATCTTATATATATATATATATATATATATATATATATATATATATATATATATATATATATATATAGGTAGATGATCATATGCGGTCATGGTCTTAGGTGAGGCGGTGAGGTCAGTTTACAGGCGTTGATCGAAGTTAATCTAACGGCAGCGACATATTAGTTGAATTAAGTAAAGTTTGTCGCGTTTTTGGCAAGCGAGGGCGTTTCAGTAATTTAATGGGATGGGGATGCGAATGTATAAAAGATGGTTTATTTTGTGTGATTTTAAACACGGAAGGAAAGAGAGATCAAGACATCGTTCGTGATCGCGTCGTAATTGGAAGAAGATCAAGATCGCGATTGTATTCGTGATTGCGTCCCAATTGGAATTCGGAGAATATCGCTGGAGATCACAATCGGAAGTTGGACGAGATATCAGTTGCGTTTGCAATTAGAGAGTATCGCAGTTGGGAGATTATTGAGGTTGAGCGATGGAGCCTGGTATGTTTTGAATTGCTCATGTTTGTAGTTTTAATTTGTCTTTTGTATTACTATGTGTCTGTTATGATTTGGAAGTTTATCGCATGCTTTTTTTATGGGTTTGCTGTGTATCGATGTTGACTATGTTGCTGTGTGTTGTTTTGTGATTACGGTTTACTTTTTGTATACTCGTGGTGCATATATTATTTGATGGTGTGTATGGCAGTATTAGATTTTATGCATGTATAATGTGCATGTAGGTAGGGTTATTCGTGTGCTATTGGATAAGGTGTGGTGCTTTATTAGTTAACATGTGGTGTGCAGCTGCTGTTTTGCAATCTGTTGGTATCTGCGATAAAGATAATTCAACTGATGTTTGTGTAGAAGGCAGTGGTGGTGTTTGTGATGAAGGTAATCCCATTGATGTTGGTGTAGAATGCAATGGTGATGGTTGCGATGAAAGTAATGTGACTGATGTTGGAGTAGCAGGAAGTGGTGTGGGTTGTGATGAAGATTATTTGGCTGATGTGGGTGTACAAGGCAGTGTATGTGTGTTGGAAACTTCTCCTGGGCTGACTAAGTATTGGCGCCCAGTTTGTGCTGACAGTGTGAAGCCTATCGTGGGGCAACAATTTGTTTCCTTGGATGGTGCTGTTGTGTTTTATAAGCAATATGCTGGGACTGTTGGGTTTGATTATAGGCAACACTCAATTCGGAAAGATAGGGATGGTGTTGTTGTGGAGAAGCACGTAGTATGTAACCGTCAGGGTTTTAAGCAGAGGGTTTCTAGGGTTGCTAAAACTACTTTGGCGAGGAGACAGAGGGTGACAAATATGGTTCGTTGTAAGGCTAAGGTTGTGATAAAGCGTAAGTCTAATGGGTTGTATGTTGTGCATTATTTTAAGGAACGTCACACCCATTCGATGTGTTCAATTATTGCTAGGCAATTTTTAAAGGTGAATCGTAGTCTCGATGCTGGACACCAAATGTTTATTGCTAGTTGTGTTCGGGCAAATATTGGGTCTGTTCGGTCATATAGGCTGTTTAAAGAGATTGTTGGTGAGTATTCCAGTGTCGTGGCTACAGGTGTGGATTTTAAGAATTTCAAGCGTGACCTGATGGCGTACATTCTAAATGGTGATGCTCAATTATTCATAGATACGCTATTCAAGAGACGTGAGTTGTGTGAGGCATTTGATTTTGAATATGATGTTGATGAAGGTGATCAACTTTCAAGGGTTTTTTGGGCGGATGCAGTATCTAGGAAGAATTTTGCGTTGTTTGGTGATGTTGTTTCATTTGATGCTACATATCGTACTAACAGGTTAGTATTTATTTTTATTGTGCATGTTGTATTTTTCTGTGGTGCATGATTTCATACCTTATGGTGTGTCTTCTTAGAAGTATGGTGTTGATTGCTTGTTGTGTTGTAGGTATAAGTTGGTGTTTGTTCCATTTACTGGAATTGATAACCATAAGAGATCCATCACCTTCGGTGCTGGTTTGCTTACGAGGGAAGATGTAGACTCATATGTGTGGCTTTTGGAGAAATTTAAGAAAACTATGTGTCATGACCCTATATGTGTTGTTACTGATCAAGATCCAGCTCTCAAGGTTGCTGTTGCTCTCGTGTTTGGTACATCAAAACATAGATTTTGCATGTGGCATATAATGTGCAAGGTTGGTGAGAAGGTTGGACTGATTCTATCTAAAGATGAAGTGTTTAGGAGGAAGTTGAATGGCATTGTCTGGAACAAATCACTGGACTCCAAGTCCTTTGAGGAGGCATGGAGTTGTATCATGGAGGAATATGGTTTGGGTGACAATGGTTGGTTTCGTTACTTGTTCGAGTCTCGTACATATTGGGCATCCCCATATTTTCACGACTAGTTTATGTCAGGACTGGTTAGGACAACGTCTCGATCAGAGTCTCAAAATAGTTTTTTTGGTACGTTCTCTAATGGTCATTCTAGTTTGGTTGAGTTCTTGGTGCATTTTGGAAGTGCTGTTGGTGCGCAGCGTCATGCACAAGCAAAATTGAATGCTGATTGTGAATCTTGTTTTCCTGTTTTGAAGACAGCATGGCTTTGGAGAAGCATGCAATGGATGTTTACACCATTTCTGTATTTTATGATATTCAAGTAGAGATTTGTGCAGCTTGTTATTCGTGTCAAGTGGTGTCTTTGTGTGATTGTGATGGCCATATGTCATATGGGATAAAAGATGGTGCACAACGGGCATGGTATGTGGAGTTAGTCTTGTCTGATTATATTGCTACATGTTCTTGCAAGATGTTTGAGCGGACGGGGTTGTTGTGTAGGCATATTTTTTTGTGTTTAAAGATCGTGGGCTTGAGAGTATTCCTTCTAGGTATGTGGTGTCTCGGTGGACAAAGGGTGCTTGTTTGAAGCCAATATTTCATATTGATGATACAATTGTTGATCAATCTTCTAAAGTGGAGAATGTTAGGATTTTTACTAATCTATTGTGGTCTGACATATATGCTTGCGTGAGCTTGGCCAATGGTAATATAGAACGTTTGGCACAGCTACGACGTGTTATTTGTGAGCAAAGGCAATTATTTCTCCAAGAGGGGAGTGAGGATGGCAGTGGGGTGGTGGCTGGTGGCAGCAAACAAAGTGTGATCAATTCATTTTGTGGAGATGTGTCTCAGGGGTCAACAGTGGAGGTGCGCGATCCTATTCAAGCTAAGAACAAGGGTAGCGGTAAGCGGTTGAAGAGTAAAAGGGAGAAAGCTGCTAGCAAGTGTGTAAAGCAATCAAGGAAATGCCATACTTGTGATGAATATGGTCATAATAGTAGGACATGCCCTTTAAATGGTTAGATACAGTTGTGTAGTTTGATTTGGGACCTATATGTTTTCACAGTTGCGTACAATTCTTATAACATACAGTTATGCATTTTATTACAGTACTTGGTGTTTTTTAATAAACAGTGTGGTGCATTTAAGAATGTCGGATGTTTTTATATTAGAATGGTGTGTTTTATTCCGTTTTGTGGTGCATTTTTATATATAGAATTATGTTGGCTGTAATATATTGTGTGGTGCATTTTATTTCATATGTTGGTGTATTTTGCAAGTAAAAAGTGGAATGGTGCATGCTATTTGTTATAATGGTGTTTTTGATGTGTCCTTTTATAAAATGAAGTGTATGCATAATAATACTGCATTTATAGCAATGCAAATGGGTAAGGCATTCACAAGTACCCATCACAAAACATTGTTTGTCTAGTAGTCATATGGTCTATGTCATGCCATCACAAAAAAACACTTACATGATTGAAAGTCTTCCTAAACACCAAACTCTGCTGCCTTCTGTATGTTTATTTCTTTTAGTTCATTCACATCTGAGGTGATCAAGGCAGCCAAGTACCTCACTCGTAACTTGTTCAATTGTTCTTTGTTGTTTTTCTGCAATCCACAATCCCATTCTTCAGCTGACTGTCCACGGAAGGTTTCCATATGGCGCATTAAAAAGATGTCACAATCCTTTTTGTTATGCGCATCTCTCCAAGGCATCTTCATTATCTTGGATTTCAGCTTCTTTACCTTCTCACCTTTGTACGCGGATTTCTGTTCGATCAACATATTTGAAAAGAATTTTTGCTGCATCAAGGAAGCATACAACAATATTAGTTTTTTGTGTCGTTGTGTATTAAATATATATAACCAGGTAGTATTTAGTGGGTTACCAGATTGTCAAGCACATATCCGTATTTGTCCTGTTTCTTCACAGGTGCTGAAGAGTTGTCAATGATGTCAAACTTTTCCATTAGTGGGCTAATAGACAGCAAGTAGTAGTGGTTGGATGCCACTATGGGAAACAGAAACTGTCATAACAAAAACACACCACATGTGTCATAATATATACACCACTATATGAGTAATAATGCACCACAAATAGACAAATACACCACTTACGTATACAACTTTGTGCCACATGATGTCTATAGCAATCGCCTTGTCTTGTAGATACTTTTCTTTGAATCTTAAATTTTCATCCCCCTGCGAGTTCACAATTGTGTACAGCTGCAAAGTTCAATGATATAGTTGTTAGATTTGTAGGGGTTTTACAGGTGTAGTTACTTTCATATTCTTTGCTTACATTTGTCCAGGTTGAAGCAACGAATTTTGTAGACCCTCTCTCTCCTTCACGAATGTTTAGTATGGCTGCCCAAGCATCAACTATAGATACTGGAATCTTTGTATCTGGTGCCATTAACAGCATATCTCTCCAGTAGATCACCCTTCCTTCATACCTGAATAGTTCCTGCTCACTGGTAATAATGTATTGTATAAGCAACAAAAATATTAATACATCAACATTATTAAATCATACACCGAAGTTATAGCAGTAACACACCATTAGAAGTTAATATTTCATTTAACGAGAATACACCAATATATATAGAGATATACACTAATAACTATTGAGTATCACACAAAACCTAAGCAACTAATGTGACCACCTGATGTGTCAACACAGACAACCATATAAACACACCAATAGTTATCAAATAATGCACTAGTTAATATATGATAATTATACACCAATATTATTATACAATGCACCAAATATATTTTAGAAATACACCAAGTAGAATGTGTTGTGCTTACAGTTCTGGGTTAGAGTTTTCTAATACCCATTGTCTGATTGATTCCTCTGTTGAAGTTATTGGGGCTTCCAGATCAGTTGCATATATGCGGGCCTTAGGTCTGATTGGGTTGTTCCCTCTAGCTGGTCTCTTTCCTTTGTCCAATGGTTGGGGTGGGGGTGGTGGATCTGAAGCAGACCCCTCTTGAATTTGGTCTGTTGGTGTGACCTGTAACATTTAGATTTTAATTTGTTTTTCTTTTTGTCACGTCGCCAATTTAATACTGTGCATTACCTCATCATTGTTATCAGCAGGTGCATCTGGTTGAGCCCTCTGTCCATCTTGTTGTCCTTCAGTTGCTTCTTCACCCTCATTCATGTTCAGCTCAACTTCTTCATTTTCCGTAGCCTGATCAATGTTTTGGTAGTCTCGTGCAATATCATTCACGTCCGCCCAACGTCTATTTTGTTCCTCTGGTGTCAATCCAAGGCTGAAAGATGGCATATCATTTAGAAAATTTCTCTTGTTTACTGCACGGACAATCTCATCTACTGCCTTCAAGAACTCAGGGTCACTCCAGTAGGCATCCTCTCTTTGAGTAAAGGTCATTTCTCCATCATCTTGTGCTCTGAATCCAAGCATTTGCCCAGCAGATTCAGACATCTGCTTGAATGTATCATGCTCCAATACTGCTGCAGGTGCATTTTCAATTAGCTTTGATATTCTCAGCAGACTCTGTGCAATTGACCTAGTGTGGGTGGTAATCTCATCAACAAACTCCTGTACATGAAACACTATAGTATAAACACACCAATACATATTGTAATATATACCAAATATTTATAAAAAATACACCACAGTCAGATAATGCACCATATTACACACAAAATGCACCAATTACCATTGCAGTGGTTGGGTTACCTGTAATCCTTGTGGCAGTGGTGGGGTCTCTTCTTGTGGTGGGGGTGGGGTTGGGGCTTCACAGTGTGTTGTGATCTCCAGTGGTAAGGCAGTATCAACGCGTCCGTATCCGAATCCTCCAGACTTGAGCTCATCCTGTTGTCGTTGTCGGAGCAGTTTAAATGTCCAGCTATTCATGGCAAGGTAGCTTCTTGGGACAGACCTCCGGTAGAGCACCACACAGTCAACATAGAATACCTGCATTTGGTAGTTTAGATTATTCATAGGGTGATGTGAAAGTAATTACAAGCTTGTTGAGTGTCTATTTACCGTTAGGAAAACAATTGGGTCTCCAAACCTTCCATCACAGCTTTCCAGCTATGCCTTCTTGCTTGCAATGAGTGAATTGATCAGCATTCTACACCAATTGAGACTCATGATGTTGTCAACTTGACGCAAGTTGTCAATGTAGCTTTGGTTCACATAACCATTTATCTGTGGCTCCACCAACACACTCATAACAAGTAGTGCAAAATGTCGTTTGAACCATGGGTCAGCAGCTCTCAATGTCAACATTTTTTTAGCCATCTTGCGTGGGGTGATGTGGCCGTCAGCCCTTCCAAAGATTTTTCTCCATTCTGCCAGGAGATCAGATACTGCTTTACTTTCCCTCTTAGTGATTTCTATGTCTCCAAGCGGCAGTCCCAATGTCACATCAACATCTTCTTCTGTGATCTGTAGTTTTTGGCCATTTTGCAGATTCAATGTGTTGCTCCTTGCATCATAGTTTTCAACCAGCCACATCCCCAGTTTCCTTGGAAGGTTTGTGATTTTGAGGTCAAGAATCCTTCTCAGCCCAATGTCTTTTATACTCTGGCATTGTTGTTTGGTTAGGGCATTAATGGGTTTTGTTAGCTGTGTTGGCAGTGACCTTATCTTTAGGTCAGTATCTTCATTCTCTTGCTCCAATGTATCTATTTCATCATTTGAGCTGTCATCAACTTCTTGTTCATGCACTTCTTCATCTGTCTCTGTTTCATCTTCTATTCTGTTAAGGAATGACATTGCTTCTTGTTTTCTCTGCTGCCGTGGCTTTGACGGGTCTCCTTGGCCTAATGCCTTTCTCTTGTTGTCTGAAATACACAGATGGTAGGACAAAAATACACCATGCATAAAAATTAAACACACCACAACACTCTTTACCAATATTCAAGTTCCAAATCCCAGAAATCACCAATAATAAACGATATATACACTACATTGATGTTCACCATAAAACAAACAACACTCAATGAAATGTCCATCCTGTAATGCTCAAAAATACACCGACTGTAGGATAAATATGCACAGTGCACAACAAATAAACTCACAACAAATTTTTCACCAGTATTCGAGTTATACATTACAGAAAACACCAATAATAAACGAAATATACACCACATTAATGCTTATCATAGACAGACAACACGTAACGAGATACAACAAATTCATAATATGAAATACACCAATGGTAGGATAAATATGCACTGTGTACAAAAATTAAACACCCAACAGTTTTTTCACCAATATTCATGTCACAAATACCAGAAAACACCAATAATAAACGAAATATACACTACATTAATGTTTATAATGCACAAATAACATGCAATGCGATGCCCTAGTCTGAAATGTTCAAAAGAATACAGCGATGGTAGGGTTAAGATGTTAGTTGACACATTGAAGTTAAATATTACAGAATACACTAATAATAAACGAAATATACCATTGCATGCTCGTTGTTTGCCTTTGTTCGTCATTTGTGTGTTTTGTAGCGAATCAGTGTCGTAGAAGACGGTTCGTGTCCCTCTCAAAACGCAGTGGTGTGTTCGGCTATAGTCTCCTCGCTGTTCGTCGTTGAAGTTTCTCGTCGTTGCAATGGTTCGCCTAGCTTTCGTTGCCGGAGCAGGAGCAAGTTGGAGAGGGTTCGCGACTTCGGGATTGTGAATAGGCAGATGGGACGGGGTGTTTACTTGTAGAAGTGGAGAAGTGATCAGTTTGAATTGAACAAATGGACAATTTTGCCCTCTATGTCGCGATGATCTTTAAGTGAAGCGCGAAATCATCTCAATTATGGTGCGTTGGATTGAACTTGATCAACGGATGGAAAATGACCTCACCGCCTCACCTTAGTGTACAACCGCACCTGATCTTGCCTCTCTCTCTCTCTCTCTCTCTATATATATATATATATATATATATATATATATATATATATATATATATATATATATATATATATATATATATACTAGTATTTGTCCCGTGCGATGCACGGACAAAAATTTA